GCACAGAAGCAAAAAATTGACTATGAATTCAAATCCTATAACCAATTCTAAGTTCTCAGTGGTTTTGTTATAAAAAAATGTTGTATTCTTTTGAGGTGATTAGCTGTCAATTTATTTTTAGAACTTATATTAAATGCTGATGAACATGATGAAGGAATTTATTTTTAGATATTACTATTAAATTTTGCTGATCAAGGTTTTCTTTTTTTAGCCATGACTATGATGTCATTTTCTATTTAATACTTTTATGATGTACTTACATTTTGTACATGGGTTTGGTTTGATGAAGGAATTTATTTTTAGATATTAAATTTTGCTGATCAAGGTTTTGTATTTTTAGCCATGACTATTTTTGTCAATTTGATACTTTAATGATGTATTCAAATTTTCTATTTAATACTTTAATGATGTATTTAAATGGGTTTGGTTTATTTTTTGCATTAGAGTTACCTTCCTTACAATGGTTTTGTTATAAAGAAATGTTGTAATCTCGAGAGGTGGTTAGCTGTACATTTATTATTTTTTTTAATTATATTAAATGTGGACAAAGGAATTTAATTTTTAGATATTACTATTAAATTTTGCTGATCAAGGTTTTCTAATTTTAGCCATGACTGATGTAATTTTCTATTTTTATACTTTTATGATGCATTTAAATGGGCTTTTATGGTTGCAAAGTCCATTGGAAATTTTGAAAGCAAATTTAAATTTAAAATATGCCTTAATTTTCCATTATCTTTTGAATAGCAATTTATATAAGACTGCAAAATTTAGTATGGGTTCATATAGTCATGATAGTGCTATGATGTTCATGATGTTGTCATCGTTTGTATCGTCATCAACTGAAAGCACATTTGATTTTTGAACAATAACACAATTACTTTAGTTTAAGTAAATGGATAGATCTATAAATTTTTTCTAGAAGGTTCAATACCATAAAAGGAAGATTGGATTTATTTGGCAGATGGTTGTCCCAACCATTTATAAATTAGGAGCCCAAAAGGGACACACAAAACAAGCATTTTTCTACTTTCGGGATAATAACTTGAGTATAAGTATTTCAATTGCTCTGAAATTGTACCACAATGTTTAATACCACAAGTACAAGGTTGGGATTCATTTTGGGGGTTATGGTGCCAACAGATTAGGAATTAAGTGCCAAAAAGGAGCCTAAATAAGCATTTTTGTAGCTTCCAGACAATAGCTTGTGTGTAAGTGTATGGATCTCTCTGACATTGTACACCAAGGTTCCATATCACAAAGGGAAGGCTGGGATTTAGTTTGGGGGTAATTGCCTCAAACATGAAGGAATTAAGTGCAAAAAAAAGAGCCAAAACAAACATTTTTAAAGTTTCCAGACAATAACTAATGTTTAAGTGTATGGATCTCTCTAATATTGTACTACAGGTATAGAACCACTAATTCAGGCCCGGTCGGAAAGAACATACAAGAAAGTAGTACATATTTTAAACAAAATAGTTCCTACGCATAGCTGTATCTTTGTCAATAGTGGGAATATTTGGGTAGTTTTAGTATCAAATGAAAGCTTGGGGACTTGGGATCACTGTAGAACCCTTGTTGAAAGTTTTATTTGAATAATAAAGAAGTATATGAAATTTTAATAGGAGGGCTCATTTGGCCTGTTGTTCAGATCAGAAGTTCCTGTTTTTGTACTATCAAACTTCCGGGAACCAGTACACTCTAATATGCAATTAAAGGTATGTTGATTTTTTCAGCACAATTCAGCATAAGGTACAGTTTTGACATGAAATAACTGCCACTTTATTTGAACTTAAGACAAAGTAGCCATTTATGCTTGAAATTGCAGAATTTAACATAGAAAGCAATGGGGCTATGAATTAGTGGTTTTATACCTATTACTGACAGGCATGTGAAATTCTATTTTTAGAAATCATACCCTTTACAGTGAAAATTGGTCACATTTGTTGTCAGAAATCATGTTACATTATTTTTTTTATGTAACAATTATGTTAGTGTCAAATTACAGCCCTCAAATTGCTACAATAAGGTAGTTTAGCCTTTTTTGGTCATTTAGCATGCACACAGTTAAGATTTTACCTGAAATTAAAATTTTTGGATTATCTAGCACTGAAACCAATGAAACTTGTATATTATGACTAGTTTATAGTATAAATATTGTTTTTGGTCAAATTATCTAGTGAGTGTTCAAGTTTTATTGTGTTTCTTGGTGAATTATTTATTTCAAGGAAAATTGGTGTATACTTATATAGGAATTCCAAAATCTCTCTTGAAATGCATTTTATAACCATTTTAGCAAGTTGTCTAGCTTAGAAATACATAAATTGCTCTTGTTGATCCATGTTTATACATAAAAGTATGTTTTTTTTACCAAATCACTCTCCTTTTCCAACATGTAGAAAAAAGGGGGGACAAAATTATCAATTATATTTTATGTTTGGACCACTGTATTTATATTCAAGGAAGAATCTCTGATAAAATAAGACATATAGGTAAAAACACTGTTATTTGAGTAGATATTAACAAATCAGAACTGGTAAAAATTGAAAAAGTGTCATATCTGTCACTATTGGTATCCATATGTAGTTTTCTTTGTTTAATGCATATGTTAATACCAGTCCAATTTGAGCTTGAATTCAGTGATATAGTGTTTTGACAAAGCTTTATGTGTTTTTCTATGCTAGAAATAGATCATAGAAGGAAATTAAGTCAAGCAGAAGTCAATATAACAAGTTTGGTGCTGTTATAGGTATAGAACCACTAATTCAGGCCCGGTCGGAAAGAACATACAAGAAAGTAGTACATATTTTAAACAAAATAGTTCCTACGCATAGCTGTATCTTTGTCAATAGTGGGAATATTTGGGTAGTTTTAGTATCAAATGAAAGCTTGGGGACTTGGGATCACTGTAGAACCCTTGTTGAAAGTTTTATTTGAATAATAAAGAAGTATATGAAATTTTAATAGGAGGGCTCATTTGGCCTGTTGTTCAGATCAGAAGTTCCTGTTTTTGTACTATCAAACTTCCGGGAACCAGTACACTCTAATATGCAATTAAAGGTATGTTGATTTTTTCAGCACAATTCAGCATAAGGTACAGTTTTGACATGAAATAACTGCCACTTTATTTGAACTTAAGACAAAGTAGCCATTTATGCTTGAAATTGCAGAATTTAACATAGAAAGCAATGGGGCTATGAATTAGTGGTTTTATACCTACAAGGTTCCATACTACAAATGAAAGACTGGGATTGAGTTTGATGGTTAATGCTCAAAGGGGGATTCAAAAAGTTGAAAAGGGGAGGGGGGGGTGTGGGGTTCCAATATTTTTTAATCGTTTCATATTTTTTAAATTTCAAATTTTAAGAAGAAATCTTCAATTGCACAGTATTGTGCATTAGACATGTTAGATTTGTAAAATCTTTGACCACATTTATTTTGTGTCAGAAACCTATATTACGGCAAAAATTTGATCACAATCCAAATTCAGATAGTATCAAGCTTGAATATTGTGTCCAAATTTGCCCCAACTGTTTAGGGTTTCGACCACTGCGGTCATATCAGGCTGCGCTCAGCAAAGCATTTTATTAACTGTCAAGGGACTATATTTGGGCCCAGTTTTCAAGTTAGTCGAAATCAGTTGAAAATTTAACTTTGTTTGATTAAAAAAAATTTGTATTTATGGCATGTATGGGGTTCTTTGAAATGCTGAATCAAACCGAGTATTTAGATTTTGGATTTTGGGCCCTGTTTTCAATTTTTGTCGAGCCTGCGACTTTTGTCGCAGAAAGCTCGACATAGGGATAGTGATCCAGCGGCGGCGGCGTTAGCTAACTTCTTAAAAGCTTTATATTTTAAAAGGTGGAAGACCTGGATGCTTCATACTTTGTATATGGATGCCTCATGTTACAAAGTTTCCGTCAGTCACATGTCCAATGTCCTTGACCTCATTTTCATGGTTCAGTGGCTACTTGAAAAAAAAAAGAACATTTTTTGTAATGTTAAATTCTCTCTTATTATAAGTAGTAGGATAACTATATTTGGTATGTGCGTACCTTGCAAGGTCCTCATGCCATTCAGACAGTTTTCACTTGACCTCGACCTCATTTCATGGATCAGTGAACAAGGTTAAGTTTTGGTGGTCAAGTCCATATCTCAGATACTATAAGCAATAGGTCTAGTATATTTGGTGTATGGAAGGACTGTAAGGTGTACATGTCCAACTGGCAGGTGTCATCTGAACTTGACCTCATTTTCATGGTTCAGTGGTTATAGTTAAGTTTTTGTGTTTTGGTCTGTTTTTCTTATACTGTATGCAATAGGTCTACTATATTTGGTGTATGGAATGATTGTAAGGTGTACATGTCTAGCTGGCAGGTGTCATTTGACCTTGACCTCATTTTCATGGTTCAGTGGTCAAAGTTAAGATTTTGAGTTTGGGTCTTTTTTTCTAATACTATATGCAATAGATCAACTATATTTGGTGTTTGAAAATATTTTATGATCTATATGTCAGTCACGCAGGTTTTATATGACCTTGACCTCATTTTCACGGTTCATTGCTCAGTGTTAAGTTTTTGTGTTTTTGTCTGTTTTTCTTAAACTATAAGCAATAGGTCAACTATATTTGTTATATGGAAGAATTGTTAACTGTACATGTCTGTCTGGCATGGTTAATCTGACCTTGACCTCATTTTCATGGTTCATTGGTCAATGTTTAGTTTTCTTGGTTAATGTTAAGTTTATGTGACAGTTGTAATAAAGCTTTATATTTAGGACTATCAACATAATATCAATGATTAGTAAAGAAGGTGAGACATTTCAGCGTGTGCACTCTTGTTTATACATTGTCATTGTGGTCTGAACAGTCTTAAATTAAACTTTTTTCTGATTTCATCAAAAATTGCTTTAACATTACTATTGTACAATGTATTTGTTCACACTATCATGACTGTTTTGTATATAACTTTAGATAAGATTTTTTTTTTTTTTTTTGTTAGGTATGCAACATTGATGATTGAAACAGAATGCCTAAAATGAAGAAAAAATCAGTTCGTCAAAAGAATTTGGAAGAAAAGCTACATAAGAGACTTCAAAGACATGTATAAATTTATTCACAAATAGTCTATCAAAAACTAATTGGTTAAAATGAGACTGCTTTTATTAGTCCCCCACTGACAAATTCATAGGGGTCTTTAGGTCTGCACTCTGTCTGTCTGTCTGTCTGTCTGTCTGATTAATTTTCCACATTTTTATGCCCCATCCGTAGGGGAGGGACATTAAGTTTTACCCTTGTCCGTCCATACGTCCCAAAGTTGGTTTCAGTTCTCTTACTTTAGTTTGCCTCAACCAAATGTTATGAAACTTATACACAATGCTTATTACCAAAAAACACAGATCAAGTTTGATTTTCAGTGGTGTCACTTCTACTGTTCTAGAGTTATGCCCCTTTACAAATGGAAAAATTGCTGAATCTTTCTTTTCCACTTAACTTTAGTTTGCCTCTACCAAATGTTATGAAACTTATACACAATGCTTATTACCAAAAAACACAGATCAAGTTTGATTTTCAGTGGTGTCACTTCTACTGTTCTAGAGTTATGCCCCTTTACAAATGGAAAAATTGCTGAATCTTTCTTTTCCACTTAACTTTAGTTTGCCTCTACCAAATGTTATGAAACTTATACACAATGCTTATTACCAAAAAACACAGATCAAGTTTGATTTTCAGTGGTGTCACTTCTACTGTTCTAGAGTTATGCCCCTTTACAAATGGAAAAATTGCTGAATTTTTCTTTTCCACTTAACTTTAGTTTGCCTCTACCAAATGTTATGAAACTTATACACAATGCTGATCATCACAAGACACAGATCAAGTTTGAATTTCAGTGGTGTCGCTGTAACCGTTCTAGAGTTATGCCCTTTACAATTGGATAAATTGCTGAATTTTTCTTTTCCACTTAACTTTAGTTTGCCTCTACCAAATTAAATGTTATGAAACTTATACACAATGCTGATCATCACAAAACACAGACCAAGTTTGAATTTCAGTGGTGTCATTTTAACCATTCTAGAGTTATGCCCCTTTACAAATGGAAAAAATGCTGAATTTTTCTTTTCCACTTAACTTAAGTGTGCCTCTACCAAATGTTATGAAACTTATACACAATGCTGATCATCACAAAATACAGATCAAGTTTGAATTTCAGTGGTGTCACTTTAACCGTTCTAGAGTTATCATGCCCCTTTATGAAACGAAAAATTGCTGAATTTTTCGTTTCCATTCTCTAACTTAAGTTTGCCTCATCCAAATGTCATGAAACTTATACATGATGCTTAAGCTTATTACCACAAAATACAGATCAAATTTGATTATGTTCTAACTTAAGTTTGCATCTACCAAATATTATTAAACTTATACACAATGCTTATTACTACAAAACTCAGATCAATAACAAATTTGGGTAGCATCACTTTTACCGTTCTTCATTTTGTCCCTTTATCATGTTTATTACTTAATATGATATGCAAGCGGGGGCATCATCTGTGTCCCATGGACACATTCCCATTTATTTTTCTTCGTGCTTGAAGGTATTGATTTATTGATTGGTATATAGTTTTATCATGACAAGTTACAGACCAAGTTCAAATTTCACATAGAAATACTTGTGATAATACTATTAAGAAAAAAAAATACACATTTTTTTTTGGCACCTTCGTTTAAAATTAATGAAGCTATGACCCCTTAAATAAACATTATTTGTATTTTAACTTCAATTTTGATAAATTTTGCCATAATTTTAATTCTTTTTGGCATAATTAACCTTGGTCGCCATCCAGGATCCAAAAAGTTTTTAAATTAATGAATTTTATATCAAAATTGGAATCTTTTGGTTACAAAACATTTTGGATCCCATGTCATGTAGGTGGCAGTCAATGTTTTCCTAAAGCTTTTAGGTCTGAAAATTGCCAAATTCATCATATTTTGACAAAATTTCCAACATGGGCTAACTTTAGAGAATAAAATGTACTTTTATGAAAAGAACTGATTATTTAGCATTAAGGCTTTTGAAGTAAACTGATTTATGAACCAAATTGTGACCTTTTTGGTGTTTTACCATAAAGGTTGATATTCTAGGCAATATTGTACCATAAGTGAACCTTGTCCTTTGCATAGCATCACTTTTACATGTAGCATGTGTAGAGTTATACATGTCTCTTTTTAACATTATGTGCAAGCAGATGCATCATCTGTGTCCCATGAACACATTCCCCATCTATTTATAATTATATGACCTAGATGGATGAAACTTTATGGAAATGTTACTTGGTATGCATAGTTCATTTATATTTCTTGACTTTAAGCACAATGATGCATTTCCAAACATTATGTGCCAATTTGAAATAGTTTTCAAACATCCTATTTTCTGTGGCCAAAACCGGCCCCTACTCCATTTTTGTACTCCTTTGCTAAGTACTCCTAATTTTGCTATCTGTATATATATGATAGGTTAAAGGTTGTCTTGATATTATTGTTGTGACATAATCAAGACGTTACAAATGTATTCCATAGCTGAGTCATAACTTTAGAAGAAAGACGCAATTGTGGAAATGATAGGAAAATAAACATGATAAAGGTTTACTATGGGAAGCGTAATGCACACATACAAGTATATATATATACAAACTTTGAAAGAGAGGCGAAAGATACCAAAGTCCCTTAAACTGACAATGCCATGGCTAAAAAGGGAAAAAAGATCAACAGACAAACAATTAACGTACAGTATACGTCCAACATAGAAAGCTGAAGACTAAGCAACACGTACTCCACAAAAAACTGATCCTGCAGAGGGTCTACGGTGCTCTCCTGGGCACTCCTGCTTCCTCCACCAATAGAAACTGACCTCCATTAAATAGCATAATATATAGTGTTGAAAGTGGTTTTGAACACCTATCCATCTATCATTTGTCTATTCTGATATTTGACTGTGTTTTCACTTGGCTAGACATTCAGTCAGGGGTACTTCTTGTACAAGTAATCTTTATTTACTTGAAGAAGTAAATAAAATATACTTATATAAGTTAATTATAATGTTTGAATAATCTCCCCTTAATTTTCTCAAAAATTTACTTGTATACGGTAAGTAATTTTTTTTTTACAATCCCACAAAAAATCGCAAGTTTTGAGATGTAAAAACATGCCTTTAACAATTTTTCTCAGGTTAGCTCATAATTTTTTATTAGAGTTCAATGTTTCATCTCATTAATTCAACAAAGAAACTGATTGAGCAAAGATCTTAAGTATTTGCGTAAGGCCTTCAAAAATTGACCTTGGGGGCTTGTAAATGAGCAGTGTTCTGAAGATAACAGTCAAATGAGATTTTCATTGTCCATGAAATTACACTGAAATGATTAGTAAAGACATCTGCAAAGGACAGACAATTAAAAATTCTATTAGAGCAAAGAAGTCCTAAGAATTCAAGAAAAGAAGATAGGATGACTTTTTTACTTGTATAAGTAAAAAAGTCTGAATGTCTAAGGGACATAACTAAGCCCAATTTATTTTTACCTATACAAGTAAATAAATTACACTTGTATAAGTATCCTACAAATTTACTTGTATAAGTATATTAATATTTACTTCTTCAAGTAAATAAAAATTACTTGTACAAGTAGTACCCCTGACTGACATTATGATCAATTTAAATGTTTTGGGTAAATATATAATAGTTTATATTCATAGATAACATTAAGATATGACTGTGAACTATCAAATGTCTTTTTTGTTTTCAGTCAAAGTTAGCATTCCAGTCAAAACAGACCACTGAAAAAGGAACCGAAACAATAAAGTCTGACAGAAATAAAATGGTTTCATCTCCTGATCAGACTAATAACCAGCCAACACTGGTTCATAGCAATGATAACAGTCGAAGTGGTCATCTACAGAGCCAAATACCAAAAAGTGACAAAAGAATTGCAGCATCAAAAAACAAACTACGGGAATATTTCAGAAAAAATTCTGGGGAAAAACCTGATAAATCCAGTGTAGTTAACATGATGGCTAATAAATCCTCAAAAACCCATATTGGAGATAAACCTTTAACCTGTGACATATGTTGTAAAGAGTTTAATAAAATGAGACTCTTACAGGTACATATGAGAACACACACTGGAGAACAACCTTATACATGTGATATTTGTTGTAAAGAGTTTAAGGGAAAGAAAGTATTCCTGATACATATGAGAACACACACTGGAGAAAAACCTTATAAATGTGATATTTGTTGTATAGGGTTTAAGGGAAAGAAAGTTTTCCTGATACATATGAGAACACACACTGGAGAAAAACCTTATAAATGTGATATTTGTTCTAAAGGGTTTATTGGAGAGACAAAATTACAGTTACATATGAGAACACACACTGGAGAAAAACCTTATAAATGTGATATTTGTTGTAAAGCTTTTGGTCGTAGAACCTCCTTAACTAGACATAGGAACATACATCATGGTCATCTACAGAGCCAAATACCAAAAAATGACAAAAGAATTGCAGCATCAAAAAACAAAGTACGGGAATATTTAAGAAAAAATACCGGAAAAAAACCTGATAAATCTGGTGTAGTTAACACGATGGCTAATGTCAGAAATGTTTTTGACAATGGTCAGGATCCCACAGGAATTAAAACTGCAAATGAACAAAACATATGTGTTGTGAATGATAAAAGCTTTAGTCAAGATAAACAGTCATTACTACATATGAGGAAAGAGACTTCTGATAACTTACCTTTTACATGTGAGATATGTGGTAAAGGGTTTAAGGGAGAGATAAGATTACAAGTGCATATGAGAACGCACACTGGAGAAACACCTTATAAATGTGATATTTGTTTTAAAGGGTTTATTCAAAGGTGCACCTTAGCTAACCATATGAAAATACATGCTGTTCATTGTAAAATATGCGATTATGCAAATTGCCAATGTCATTTACAGAAATACTCGCCAAAAGGTGAATTTGCTGCATCAAAAAATATACTAAGAAAGTTTTTAATAAAACAAACAGAAATTAAACCTGATAAATTTGGTGTAAATAACACAATGGCTAATGTCAGTAATCTCTGCAGCAATGATCAGGAGCCCACAAGAACTGAAACTGAAAACCAACAATTTATATGCGGTGTATGTGGTGAAATATTTAATGGCGATAAACCGTTAGTACTACACATGAGAAAACATGCTTGTAATAAACTTTTTACATGTGACATATGTAACAAAAGGTTTTACCAAAGATTCAACTTACTAGTACATATGAGAATTCATACTGGAGAAAAACTTGGAACTTGTGACATATGTTTTAAAAAGTTTACTGAAGGGAAGAGCTTACAGATACATAAAAGTACACACTCACAAGAAAAATCTTACAAATGTGATGTGTGCTTTAAAGGTTTTTTTGGAAGAAATTCATTAACTAGACATATGAAAATACATACCTGTGATGTAACTAACACTGTGGCTAATGACAGAAATCATATTAGCAATGATCATGATCACACAATATCAAATAATGATCAAGATCACCATGATCACACAATATCAAATAATGATCAAGATCACCATGATCACACAATATTAAATACTGATCAAGATTACACAATATCAAATACTGATCAAGATCACACAATATCAAATATTGCTCAAGATCACACAATATCAAATACTGATCAAGATCACACAATATCAAATATTGATCAAGATCACACAATATCAAATACTGATCAAGATTACACAATATCAAATATTGATCAAGATCACACAATATCAAAAACTGATCAAGATCACACAATATCAAATACTGATCAAGATTACACAATATCAAATATTGATCAAGATCACACAATATCAAATACTGATTAAGATCACACAATATCAAATAATGATCAAGATCACACAATATCAAATACTGATCAAGATTTCACAATATCAAATGCTGATCAAGATCACACAATATCAAATGCTGATCAAGATCACACAATATCAAATATTATTAATGAACAATTTTTATGTGGTATGTGTGGTAAAAGATTTAGTGGAGACAATAAATTACGACTACACGTAAAAATTACACACAAAACATAATTATCTGTGATCATGTGATTAACCTATTTTGATCATGTGATGAACATTTTAGATGTAACATAATTATGATGTAAATGAAGGGTTTAGGTAATGAAAAGTGCAACTTAAACTACATGATATACCCGAAATTAACCTGACGAAAGTGACAGATTACTAATCAAATGTGCAATTTAACTTGTATTTATTTGATGTACACTTAAATAATTAAAGTATTTTTTTGTTACCTTTTGAAATTGTAAATTTATCAATTAAAAAATCTTATAAATGTGAAATTTTTTGTCTGTATCATTGTCCATGGTCCCACCTGCAATAAAAGTCACAGCATGCCAGACAAAGGTACTACTATCCGGCGGCAATGTAAACTATTAGTATAAAGCTTAATATTTCAGAAGGTAGAAATCCTGGATGCTTCATATCTTGTATGAAAATACCTTATCTGTAACGAAGTTTCCATCTGTCTATTGTCTTGACCTCATTTTCGTGGTTGAATAACTTCTTGAAATTTTTTTTTAGTTTTTTGGTCATGTGAATTTCTCACTTATTATGAGTACTTGTAATAGGATAACTGTATTTGATATATATGTGGGTTCCTTGCTATGTCTACAAGTCTGTCAGACAGAGTTCACCTGACCTCGACATCATTTCATGGATCAGTGAGTAAGGTTAAAGTTACGGTATTTGGTCTTTTTCTCAAATACTATAAGCAGTAGGTCAAATGTATTTGGTGTTTGGAATGATTGTAATGGGTACATGTCAGTCTGGCAGGTTTCATCTGACCTTGGCCTCATTTTCATGGTTCATTGGTCAATATTGATTTTTTGTGTTTTGGTCTGTTTTGCAAGTCCTATATTAAGCAATAGCTACATGTAGGTCAACTATATTTGGTGTATGGAATGCAAAATCAACAGAACAGAGATTATTGTCATGAATTCTATTCTCGTCTACAATGTTGGACAATGTCATTAGTTGAATAAGCAAATAGACCAAGATGAAGTAACACAGGCTCTATATAGAGCCTTTATTTTATAAATTTAATGTTTGTGATCAACAATTTAATCGGAACAATGATATACGAGTGCACATGAAAACACACGGTGGTAGACCCTATAATGTGATGTATGTGGTAAAAGGTTTTCGCCGTAGTTTGAACTTTCGTAGGCACACGAGAACTCATATACCATGTATACAGTGTGTTAAACTTCTTGAATATAGGTGTCAGACCACCAATTAAAAATCCCTATCTGTTCAACCAAATTTAGCAATTTTCACAGCTTTCTAAATATTTTACCTTAAGTTTAACTTCATAGAAACCAAGTATATCCTGAATCTTACATGTATCAAGTTTCTACATGCCAATTTTCAACCTTCTTAAAGGTTAAAGGCTTATAAGAAAAATCTGACCTTCGGAACACAGGTCTACCAAAAACCACCCCTGGTTTTCTGGAAATCATAAATTAGTATACTATGGAGCGCATTAATTCTGAATTTTTAATTCAAACTCATAGACTAGTAAATTTTGGCTCAAAATGGTCTAAATATATTTCTCTTTCACCAAAAATTTCATTTCAGCAAATTTGTTGGTTAGTTTAGGTAAACAATGACCTCAAAAGCACTATTTTGTGTCAGAGTAGGGCTACTTTTACATACGTTCTAAATTGGAGGGAGTAATTGGTGGTCTGACACCTATATGGTATGCCGTAATGCGATAAAAAGTAAAATAACAAAAATACCGAACTCCGATGAAAATTCTAAACGAAATTCCCTAAGCAAATGACAAAATCAAAAGCTCAAAACATCAAACGAATGGACAATTGTCACATTCCTGGATTTACCACAAGCATTCAAAATGAGAAGGCACACTTGTGACAAGACCCATAAACATGATAATAAAATTGAGAATGGCAATGGGGAATGTGTCAAAGAGACAACAACCCGACCATAGAGCAGACAACAGCCGAAGGCCACCAATGGGTCTTCAATGATGTATGTTATAAAGAGTTTAGCTATTGTGAGAGCTTTAATGAGCATATGCGAACACACACTGGTGATAAAACCCATAAACTTGATGTATGTGATAAAGAGTTTATCTAATGTGAGAGCTTTAATGGGCATATGAGAACACACACTGGTGATAAAACCAATTAACGTGATGTACAATTGTATGTGATAAAAAGTTTAGCTGTTGTGAGAGCTTTGATGGGCATATGAGAACACACACTGGTGGTAAATCTCATAAACGTGATGTATGTGATAAAGAGTTTAACTATTGTGAGAGCTTCAATGGGCATGTGAGAACGCTCACTGGTGATAAAACCCATAAATGTGATGTATGTGATAAATAGTTTAGCTATTGTGAGAGCTTTAATGGGCATATGAGAACACAGTCACACTGGTTATAAAACCTAAGGCTTGAAGGAGTGTAGTATACTGTTAAGTAAGCTTGGTAACTTCAGACACAGAGGAAAACATATAATTGAGATAAACTTCATAAATGTGATATATGTGGTAAAGGGTTTGGTGTTAATCAGAACTTACAGATAGACATGAGAGCACATACTATTAATTAACCTCATAAATGTGATGTATGTAATATTAATAGTATCGTCCGAAACCTGACTTTCAGAAACATACGAGTGATAAACATTAAGGTTCATGTGGACCCTTTGGCCAAAATGACTGCATTTTCACCTCGAAATTTACTCTGAGTACAGACAAACCTGTACATCTGGAAAAGTTTTACAGCTCTTCTATAAAAGCATACAAAGCAAACCTTTGATCTACTTGCTTGCTATGTTTGTTTGGATGTTTGTAAACAAAAGGTAGGTAGTCTGTTTCAGTCTGTTTACTATATAATGGAATTTGATTGGACAATAAACATTAACTTCATTGGATGTCAATTTTTATTGTCCAATCAAATCCCAGTATATATAAAACAGACTGAAACTCCGCCTACCTATTGTTTGCAAACATCCAAGCAAACATAGCAAGCAAGTTGATCAAAGGTTTGCTTTGCATGCTTTTATAGAAGAGCTGTAAGACTTGCATGCCCTAGATATATAAAATTCAAATGCATTGTATGTTTTAGAAAATTTAAAACTTAACTGGATTTTGCAGTGCACTTTTTTTCGTCCCTGCAGAAGATGATAAAATTAACAAACAGTTACGTTTCACTTGATATGGTCCACACAGGTACACAGTTTAAATCACCAATTATTGTCAGGTATCTTTTGTCCATCTATTGTTCATGTCAATACAGTTCACTTCAATTATTACCTGTAGGAAAGTTCTCAAACCTCTTTCCCAACTTATTTTGGCACCTTCTGGAGGAATGAAAAAAAGTGCACTGCAAAATTATGTTATGTTTTTAAGGGAGCTACCATTTGATTTTTATGGGTGGGGGGGCTAGGATGAAAAATTTTGTCCTGCATTTTTTTTTAGTTGTAATCTCTGTCCTGCCTTTTTATTTTTCACTCAATTCGGTCCTGCCTTTTTTTACCTAAATTGTCATCCTGACTTTTTTTTTTGCAAGTGTCTCATCCTGCCTTTTTTTTTTAAACTCAAAACTCCTGTCCTGCCTATTTTTTTCAAATTTCATCCTAGCCACCCCATGTTTAATTGAATCAACACAAGGGTACATTATAAATCCTTAAGTGTGTAATCTATGCTGTAAAGTGTTCATTTATACTCGTAAAGTGCAAAAAGACATGAAAACATGATAAAACCTATACTTAAAAGATACCAAATCTTTTAGAAGAATGAAGAAGCATTTACGATGTATGACTATCGCTTCTGCAGTGCACCTATGTACGGGTGCTTAGAAAGTGCTGAACGAAAAAAAAACAAACAAAACCGGAAAAAGGAATCTACGAAACTACATTGTAATAAAAACCGCAAAATGAAAAACAAACAATCAGAATATTAATGTTATAATAACTTTAGTTTAATCCAAAATTTTGTTTTGTTGTTTACACGATTTAAACCGTAATTGTTGACACGCGACAGTTTTCACACAGCTATTTGTATCAATGCAATGCAACTCAGGTGGTCAGGAAGCTTGAGTTTAATAAACAAGGTTATACAATGTATGTTAGTATTTGAGATATTAAGATATTACCAACCCGGCATAATTTTTCGTTAAAAAAGTTAAGTTTAGCATCACAATGCTTTTATTCCAAAGTACAGAATAAAGCCATTTCTATACACGTACCAATGCAAATGTCGTAGGAAATGCATACATGGAATCTATATATCCTTAGATATACAAACACTTTACAAAAATTCTCGTTATTGCATGAAAAACGACATTTTGAGACTGATTTCATTTCTATATGTCAGGTTTTTTCGAGAGCAGTCTGTGTTTTTTCAAGTGCATCCGTTTTTTATCGAGTGATTATACAAATTTCCTTTAGCTTAAAATGTTATTTGTCAGTGTGTTTACGTTTAAAAACAATACAAGAAGGTTCAAATTTAGTACTTTTTAGGCAGGAAACCAATTAAATTGAGAATGGAAATGGGGAATATGTCAAAGAGACAACAACCCGACTAAAGAGCAGATAACAGCCGAAGGCCACCAATGGGTCTTCAACGCAGCGAGAAAATCCTGCACCCTGAGGTGGGCCTCAGCTAGCTCCTAAATAAAAATGTGTACTTGTTCAGTGAAAATGGACGTCATACTAAAACAAAACATATAAATGAACTAAAACTAAAAAACATACAAGACTAACAAAGGCCAGAGGCTCCTGACTTGGGACAGGCGCGAAAAATGCAGCGGGGTTAAACATGTTTTGTGAGATCTCAACCCTCCCCCTATACCTCTAGCCAATGTAGAATAAAGAAACACATAGCAATACGCACAGTAAAACATTGTTTATAAGAAGTCCGAGTCCGATGTCAGAATAGGTAACAAAAGAAACTAAGCAAAATGACAATGATTCATAAATTAACAAAGGAATACTAGCAGTTACTGACATGCCAGCTCCAGACCTCAATTAAACTGATTGAAAGATTATGTCTTCATCATATGAAAACCAAGCACAATCCCTCCTGTTAGGGGTTTAGTATCATACCATCATACCATATATGAGAAGAACATAACCCGTATCATGCCAACAACTGGTTTTAGAATAAATGTGTTTATTTTCGATGCAAAGACTCTATGAGTTAATCAATATTAATACCAAAATATGCCATCCTTAATGACCTGACAACAGTATCGTAACTATATCCCTTCTGAATAAGTCTGTTTAAAGGATTGGTTAGCTTCTGAGGTGAA